GTTAGTCCTTTACCTTCTGGGGGTATAAAGTTAAAGTATTGCTTCGTTTGCTCGTCGTTGGTAATTTTGATAATCAGCGGATTGGCCCCTGCATACTTACCACCCTCGTCTTTGAACAGAGGTCCGTCTCTAACTTCCTTAGTGGTCTTAGCATTTGGTTCRAAGAAGGTGCTACTGTCGTGAGTTTCTTTGTGATACCCAGTGTTCCATCGCAACTGCAGCGAATGAACTTCCTTATCACTTAGCACATGTCCACCAATCCCCCAATAAGCCCAAATATGTCCCAGACCATTGTTAGCACCCGCGGTACATCTAAAATCCTTCCCTACAACGCCAAACTCCTTACAAAGTCTATCATAAGCCGGCACGCTGTATTTGTTATCTCTAGGATAAAACGTGGCATCTCCCGGTAATGCAACCACCCCCATTTCATGCAGTATTCTTCTAACCGTGAAGTGAAAGTGAAACATAAATATTGAATTCTTCATCAAGTTTGCGCTTACCCCACAGCCGCTAGTGGCGCACCAAACCGCAAAGTTCAACTGCTGCGGCCAATAACGCATGTTAGGACCACTTAACCATTCATGAGATTCCTTAGCGGTGGTATGATTAATGGGTACGTCTTTGAAGATATCTCGCACCTTTAACGGAAAGGAATGCTCGTTAGAGATCCGCATGTTTAACGTTAGGTCCAAGCTTGGGTGCTTGTCAAATGGAACCGCGGGTATCGGATAAGTACTGGTACCAAGCAATAATTCCTTTGACCAACCTTGCGTTACCGTGGGATGCTGCACAGATACCGTAGGCGTGGGTTTAACGTAACCAGGATTCTTCAACTGATTGTCTATCTGATTAACCAGCGTAGGTTTCAAATCCTCATTACTGTACATTCTTTCGCCGTTATAGTAAATCCCATCGGGTCTTCTTTCAAACTTACTGGGGTCTGCATGTGGAAACATCTTCCTAAAGGCCCTCCAGTTCCAGTAATCCCAGTTGTCGTGATGCGGCTGCTCCTCTACGTTATTCCCAAAGGCGTCGTACATTGGTATACATAATGGATGTTATACCATCAGCACCTCCACTTTATCCTGAACTTCCTAAGGAGGGCCCCAACGAATTAAATGCCGAGAACTTTCGTCTGAATAAAGCAAACTTAATACTGGCTTACTTGGAAGGGCA